ACCTGTTATCCTCTACTTTTCAATAATATCCGGCTACTCGAAGGACCAATGTGAAGTGGGTAGTTTCCACTACTTTTGAGCTGCCCTCTAATGTGGTTAGTGCACCACGGGAGTCAACTCTTTCGGAGAACGATGTGATTATTCTGGCTTATTTTATGCCGTTGTGAATAATGAGCACTGCGTTTTTGCTTGATAGTTTTTTATTGTACGGATGTTTTTGGGAAGTATATTTGGCGATACAAGTGTTACAGAAAAGATGCTGGCGATAGTCAAAAATGGCCGATAACCTCTCTCTCACAGCCCCTTCTTCCTTAGGCCCAATTTTACAGAGTTGCCAACTTAACATAGGAATAGCTAAAAACAGAAATCTGCTCACCCTGTGGTGAGACAAGGTACACTATCGAACACGTGCAAAAACCATTTTCAGAAGAAAACGGCATTCCAAGGTGGGGTCCTTTTGGATTAAGGAAATTAACACATTATTCTCACTAATTAATAAATAGCAAACTTAATAATTTGATGAATTATTATAATAAAATTGGTAATAATTTATCGAAATATTAAGTAATGGTTAAGCATTTTGTAAATACAGTGAATCCTGCACGACATGTGCCTGATAATCGGATGAATCTATAATGATTAATCGATATTTTACGAAAATATTCATACAATCTTTTACGAAAATATTCGAACTTCTGTGTTGCAATATATACGCCTTTCAATTGGAGCTTTCCTCATTTTTTTAGAGTTAGAGAAAAGCGATTTCTCTATCTTATTGGAAAACTGTTAGATTAAAACATTGAAATGGCAATTTTTTAAATTATTTCCATTCTTGCAAGCAAATTTATTCCAGTTAAATTCTCCACCCTGTATAATTAATACTCGCTGCATTAGTTGTTGAGATATGACAACCCTGTACAAATACAGCTCGGACCATAACATCAGAGATAAAGACAAGTAATAACATAACCTTAACTTAGTATGTTCAAAACCGCAGGTTAAGTTGGTTTACATTAGTAATTTTTTATTAAAATTGTTGTAATGCTAGGTCTAAGAGTGAGTAGTTTTAACGAAAATCTAGGGGAGCCGGAACAAGATGCTAATTCAGCATTAACGGAACTGGATAAGGGTTTGTTCATATATACTAAAGCTAATCTGGGATTTATCTTATTTACGAACACATTGTAGGGCTTCGATCCGGGAAAGTTGGTGAACAATGCGAAGCAATAGTTAGATTTCCTAAGTTATTTGAAAAATATCCATTTCCTATCCTGATAAATGCTTCATTGCTGAAGTTGTCCGATGTTTTTCGTATGGGGTAAATTGAGTACAGAACACTACATTGTTTATGTTTGATATTTTACATTTTACAGCAACAATTTCCTTCGTCTTTGCGTCTTACGAGTGTGTCAACAAAGTGAGAAGCATTTGGATAAAATATCAAATGTTGATGAGTTTGTCAGAAGAGTTTATAGGTGATTATTAGCAATCTTGTGTAATTAGACTTAGTAATTTACATTTATGGAAGCGTACCTTACACTATTGGCAACTTTCATTTTTTGCTCTTTTGCATGTACGTATGCCGTTCTCATTTTTTACGAAAAATAATAATATAAATGTAATTTTTACCACAAGTTCGTGGGTCTATTTATGTGCGTTTAGTGAGAAAAACTCAAAATGTTTCCTTCTTAATTTTTTTTCGTACTCGCCAAGCAAACCCCTGTAACCACTTTTTTTAAATTTTAAAATCATACTCTATCCAAAACAAAATATTAGTATTAAAAACGAATGGACCGTTGTCTCAAGATAATATAAATATTCCATAAATCATTAGTGAAAATTATATTTGTGTCTTTTACAGTGTTATTCACTCTAATGATCCTATAGCAAGAGCCGTAACCTTAAGGACGTTTGGTGCTGTAGCAGCTATTATTCCAGAAAGACAACAAATTCATCATAGCATTAGAAGAAGTTTAGATTCACATGACAATGTTGAAGTGGAAGCAGCCATATATGCGGCGATTCAGTTTGCTGCTCAATCGAAGTCAGTTGTACTATATTATTCGACATTTTGTATGTTAAGCTGTTCGTTTTTAGGACATTTGCTGTCAGCATGTGCAACAAGGTATCTTATATGATCCAAGGACAGGCTACTACTGCTAATATGAAATTACAATTGATTCCCATACTGCAATATATGCACCATGACACAGCCACTGCCGCTATGGTTAGAACACTGTGTGTGGATTTGCTGCCCTGTTATCCTGCTCAAGATTTTGTTTTGATTATTCTGAATACACTGTCGAAACTAGCTGCTGCAACACTAGTACATATTCCTAACCAGGTGAGGTTTAAGGAAACCGCAATTTTAAGTTAATTGATAAATTTTACTTCTTAGGTAACTTTGCTACTGAAATACTTAAAAACTGACCCGAGATGGGAAGTAAAATCTAAAGCCTTGCAACACCTTTACGAGCTGGCAATACCTGGTGCTCACATTTGGCCTCAAGGTGCTGTTGATGATTTAATTGATTACGTGTTATCCAGTAACAGAAATAAAATATTGATGCCAGGACTGTGCGTTATACAGGTAATCTTTAATTGCTTTAAATACTAGGTTCAAAAATGAATCATGAGTGGAAGATATTGTATTCACACCTACAGCAATATATATGTTTCGTTTTTTTCCTACTTCTGTTCATCAATGCAAACTGTATATTTATTTAATTTTATATTTTGCACGTATCACAATTGCATTGAATTTTAAATTGAATAAAAATCAAAATGAAATAATAATAGAACATCGGGCAGTTATATTGAAATAATCATAAATCAGACTAACAATATCTTTAGCAATCAGGTAACCTTTCGCACCAAACGCATTTCCATATTTTCCACATTAAAATATGGTTCGCTTTTGTCGGCCTCCAATAGATCAGGACTTTACAAATCCTCCTTATTTTTATTGTCAAAAATCATTAGATTTATTGTTATTTAATTGAGGATAACCGCTGTTTGCATGATGTTAAGTAGCTCTTATTTATCTACTACTTAATTTAGGTACTTGTAGAGTCTCCACGGCTCTGTTATGAGAATAGAGCTTCAAATACGAAATTAAGGGAACTTTGCGGAATTCATGCGTTTTCTCCTCATTTTGGAATCGCTGTCCAAGCCATACAAATATTGACTCAAATATTGTGTTATTGGTAAGTGAATAATGGAGTATGACTATCAATAATTAAAAAAAACTGATCAATTTAGCTTTGGAGAAAATCTTCAGCCAGACGGTACTGATGATGTAATTACCTCTCTTGAATCTTTAATACTATTATTGACTGATTCTGAGCAGAAACAACCTAAACACTTGAAAGTTGCCTTGAAATGTGCTGTAAGACTTTGCGAAGCACGGCCGGAATATTGCGAGACTTTTGTTGATCTGTTAGGATGCAGGCTTGATAACGTTGAAGGTAAAAATTCAATATATTGTTATAATTATAATATTATAATTTAATATAAATAATTCAGATACCAGTTGATTTTAAACGTTTACAAACATTTTAAAACCACCGTTGTGTACATATAGGAAGGTTTTGGTGAATTATAAACAATATCATTTTTTTCAATTTTAACTTTATTTAGAAAGCGTGTTGAAAAGTTGACATGACTAGGAGTAAAAGTGCAATCAATAGTCTTGTTTGTTGTCAATATTTTTGTTTTCGTTATTTCGAAAAAAAGTTATATATAAGATATATTTTCCAAATTTTGAAACAATATTACATACATAACAAACAGGAATCATCAAATTAAAAGCTACAATTAACCTTCATCCAGATTTCTTCTTACTTGCTAAAAGCTTATCAACAGAACCATCGCAACCAAAATATGATGATGAAAAATGGAAAACTTTAGTTTATGAAAAGTATTTATTACTTTTATGTTTTTATTTAAAGTTTGCATACCTTGGAAAATCCAACAATTCCCATGGCAGACTGAATGTACACTGAAAATAATATTCAAATGTTCCACTTTAATCAATGATACATTCCTACACACAAATTAATTATTTATTTTGATTATTATTGAAGATTATTTCAAAAGAAAATCCTAAATGTTGAATTTTAGGAAACTACACTATTGTAATATGTGAGGCTTTGGGGGCAATTGGAGGACTGAAACCCGAAACATTACTGCCACAACTTCAGACAATGCTAAAATTACTTGGTTGTCTGAGAGCAATTGAAAGTCCAACCGATGTTCAAACCAACACGAAAGTTATGTTGTGTACTTTATTATTTCAATTGTTATCTGGCTACAAGTGGAATGAAGAAACTAAGAATGCCGTTTTCGAAACAGTGGGCAGTAACAATTTATGGTCTAATTACTGTATAGGTGATTATTGTGGTCTAACTGTAATAAGTTATTTATTCAATTCCTTTGTAATTTAGCAAGAGCAGCTGTGCGATATGGCCATCATCAAATAGGCACTTATATTTTCAAGCAACTTACAGAACAGGTTAGTTCTGAGCATTTTCACTTTTGGCTGGCGTGTTTGAAAGAAATGTCTGAAGCTGAAGCTTTACTATCCGATGAAGATTCTTCTACTCTAGTTACACGACTCGACCAGTCATCTATTCATTATAATAAAGCGATTGCAGCTTTAAAGGTAACTTAATATGTGGTTAGCGTCTAGCTCAGTTCTAATTACTATTTCTAGGCGGCTAGTACTCCATCACATAATTTAACTTTTCAAGCAGAGTATATGAGAATCAGAGCAGAATTTTTGCAGTGTTTAGCACAATTAATATATACTTGCAACATTCTTTGCATAGTTCCTCCTCCAGCCATTGCTGCCACAATTGTCCAAAATACAAGGTAAAACGTTATAATATGTAAGTGAATAAAGTGATATTAAATAAATATCAACTTTAAGGGATGAACATCAAAGATACGGCTATATAACTAACCAGATGAGAAAATGTGTTAAAGATTTTAAAAATTGTGGCGAACTGCATTGGAAACTTTACCAAACGGCTTTTGATGCCGATCCAGTCACTCTGGAGAACATGCAAATGTACGTATAAACCATCTACTTTTCCCTCAATATTTAGAGTTTACTAAAGTACTAGAGTCTACTTTTAGATTACAACAGATGTGTGTTCTAATAGAGCAATCACTGGAAACCGTATGCACTAGTGGCTCAAAAATTCGAGAAGGACCGATGGAATTTGGAACTAAAAATATTAAGTTAGAATCTCGTGAACTAGTAAAAGCTTGTGAAAACTCCTTAAAAGGGGCACAAAAATTGGCAGAAGATAGTGTAACGTCCACTATAACCCACCGGGTAAGTTTTGTCTGTAAGCTAAAAGTTTGATCTGTTTAGTTTTGTTGTCTATTGAGAAAAATTGCTGATCCTGCACTCCAACATTTACATTCTTTCAAGACATTCAATTACGTGGTGATAAGCCTATAGTGTCAAAAGACATGGCTTGCTTTATAAAATTCCATAATTTATTATTGTTTTGAAAATTACCGTGAATTTTCAGTATGCATTTCTTCCTCGTTAAAAGCAAATTGATCCCTGTTATATTTTTTTTTGGTTGAAAAACATATTTTTTATTCGAAAGTTACTAATCAGATTACTTGATTTTGTTTCAAACTGGAAGTTGGTCATTCGTCTGTAGTTTTTGAATTTTTAGCAAAAAATTTTAATCATTTATGATTACTCAAAACGGAGATATTTATAGTAAAACAAATAATTGTGTTGATCAATAATGTGACTAGTAGTTAAACTATAAGTTAGTAACTTGAAAAGAATTCAATGTTTTGAAGTTTATCCGTTTTTAAATTAAGATTCATGACTACTACTACTACTAACGGAAAAGTGGTAATTGTCACTATCAATTTAGATATTCGCAACGAACTAAATTAGAAATTTGGAATGCGCACTTCAAGCTATTTCCATGATGATTTAAACAACTGTTATTTAATTAAATTGTGTCTTATTACAGTATAGGTTTAAATATAAAACAATAGTAACCATTTTCTGGTAATAAAACGAGCTGTACGAAAAGAAGAGGCACTTTGATATGGTTAATTACGGCGGAGTAGAAGCTACTTTACATGAAAAACGCATTGGGTTTTATTACTATTTTAGGGTACATTTTTTCTTTAGAGTTTAATAGTTAACTTAAAATTTTTATATTTCAGCAAGTAGAAATTCTAAAGAAAATTGTCGAAATACTGGCGAACGCCAGACTTCCAGTTCCCCGTTTCTTCTTCCAAATACTTCAGTCGACCAGCGTCAAACTGGCGATTTCGCCACAACCGAGAGTTATGGGAGAATTTATAAGCGTTCAGTCGGGCTCTCAACTGGCAGTAAAAGTAGAAGGTGTTATACAACATGGCCTGAAAGCCGGATTATTCCGAAATATCGAACAAGTGGTCATTAGCGTCACCTCACAGTTGCAGAGCGCCGCAAAGAACAAAGATATCGATCCGAAGGTGGTTATTTAATTAATCACCACTGTAGCACAATCTTGATTGCGATTTTGTTGCAGGTTTTGGAACACGTTTCATTGCTGTCTCAAACGGTCACACCCCACAAGGACTTTTTCTCCGCCCAGTTTCTTCTTGGTTTTCCAAGGGGCGGTCAATATCTTATAGGTTTGTTTGATTTAAATCGCTAAATATGATGCGACTTCTGTATGTGTAACTATTTTAGTTGTTGAAGCATCGGTTATTGATAAAGAGAGTAATACGTGGAAAACCGGCCCAAAAAGTTCTCTCACCGTAAAAGTACCAGAGGAGCCAAAGTTCCTTCCAATAACAGTTCCAGGAATAACAACAAACTCAAATATGTAAGTATTCAAAAAGTGCAAGGACTGATTTTTCCTTTACAGTAATTTAAATTACGAATTCGATAAGATCAAACTGGTGCTCATGCTAGAGAGAGATTCTCTATCAAAAGCATTAAACATTAATGATCTTTAATGATCTCGGCACCCGTTAATGAACGGGTAAATATAGGAGAACAATATTTTTAATGGAATACTATAAGTATTCGACAAAAATACAAGCGTAAACATGAACATAATTGTATTTCAGGATCTTGATGCCTGAGGACAGCCTGTTTATCAAGCCGCATCAAAAGAAACTGCAATAAACCTTATCATTTGTATTGATAATTGGTATAGCATGTGGCAAGCATTATCATCAAAATAAGTTATTTATAATAATGGTTTTTCTTAAATACATTGTTTTGTATGTAAGATATGTATGGATATTATATAATTCCATTATGCAGCCCTAAAACACACATACATTACAGCGTCTAAGCTGTATGGGGTCATTGAAAATTGTTGTTTTTATTTTTATTCTTCTATTTATTTACAAATTACTCGTTTTCTCACTGGCACGCGGAGCAACACACATCCTTCGTGTTCACTAATTAGCATATTTAACAGCTCGTGCGGCAAATTTCCTAATTTTATTACATTCAGCCGATAGCAAAACTTAAACAGTCCGAAGCCGGGCGTTCAATAAAAAAATGTTCTAATAGAATGTTTGTATAAAACTGCTGGACTCTACCTGAGACTTGCCTAAACCATGCTCTAAAACGCATTTGCAAATAGGGGTTAAACGTATAGATGTATACAGAAAAAACCAATGACATAAAATACAAAAATACTTTAATTATCTGAAATAATTTCACATACATATATGCACCAATGGATCATATCCAGGAGAAAGTCTATAATTAAGAATCTTAGTCGTTTATGCTTAATAAGATTAACTTACAAAAATACTTTTATTTATTTCTCATGCACTTCATGAAAAAATTGATTTACCCTCCAGTTTACCTCAAGCGTAGATTTGTTTCGTTTTAATGCCGATAGTTTAAACGCCTAGCTGTTTGGCAAAAAATAAGCAGGTCATTTAAATTATTATAATCTAGCTTATAAAAAATAGCTTTAAACGTAGTAAAGATACAGCGGTCCTTATTCTTATTAGGGTACCGGGTACACTTTATATATAACCTAGAGTAGCCAATTGATATGCAAAATTCCCGAAATTATAAGGATATATAAGATAGATATAAGATACATATATATAAAAAGACAATAAGAATACTAGCTAGAATGAACTGAAAAATTAACGAGTCATATGATCTTGGAAACATATCCACTTTGAGCAAATTGAAATTCTTATTACTAGCCTACATAGGTCCAACATATGGCGAGAGCCTAGTTATTGGCCTATGATCATAATCTCTAACTTTCACATTTTCTTCATGGTTATCGCCACTTTTACCGCCCGTTTTACTTATCAAACGAATATTCGTTATCTCTATATGTCTGTCTACCGCTTTGCACATATCATAAATAGTAAGTGCCGCTACACTTACAGCGGTTAAGGCTTCCATTTCAACTCCAGTTCTACCTTCGCATTGTATTTCCGAAAATAATCTCACTTCTTGGTTTTCCTCATTCAGAGCTGCGGTGACGTTAATCTTGGTCAGGTTGATGTTATGACACAAAGGTATAATTTCTGCGGTTTTCTTGGCTCCGATTATTCCAGCGATCTGAGCGATGCTCAATACGTCTCCTTTTTTCATCGCATTTTCACTGATCATCTCCGTAATTTCACGTCCAACTTTCACAGTTGCTGCCGCTTTAGCTGTACGCGTTGTAATTGGTTTAGAAAGAATATCGACCATCGCTGCTTTACCTTTTTCATTTACGTGAGTTAAATGAGTTCGAGCTGCCTGTTCTATTGAATAATGTCGAATAGTTCTAGGGCGATATGAATGTGATAGGTTGGTGTGAACGATTTGTGGTAGTGCTGGATGATTAATGAATGGATTAGATGTCTTCTGGCTATCTGAAAAAGATGGAAGTGACACAAGTTAAAAACAAACATCTGATATGATATTTCAAATAAAATCAACTAATTTTCCTTTGCAAAAAGAAAAATAATTCAAACTCTCACAATCAACAAATTCAAAACCAAAATCCCACAATATGTTATAGAACGCACACATCTAGTAGCAGAAGTTGGCCTGTGCATAGGTATAAATATAAAGTATTTGCTGCTTTAAAATAGCTGAATTATGACATAAATTGTTACATAGTGATTCAAGAATAAAAGTAGACTTTTAAGACATTGAACCTGCGTATGATTAAGTTTCGCGAAATGAAATATTTGCCGCATATTTCGCAACACTCAGAGCATGACTATAATAAGTCGGGTTTCTGAGCACGACTCGTGATTTGTTCAAATTCAAAACCTCAAAAATTGTTTCAAAACAACTTTAGAAAATTTTTCATTTTTAAAAAATTTGGAATTAATATTTTATAGATAATTTCACCTGGCAGCGTAGCAAAAGACGCCTTAAAAATTGCATGAAAAAAACTAAACATCAATATATGATATACATATTTTGAATGCTGCGACATTTTCAACGAGCTCGTAGATATGTATACATATACGTAAGTAAGTACGTTTTTTCCATATCATTTTGTGTCTGATAAGAGTATAGAAATATGTATCTGGGAAAAATCAATGTAACAAATAGACCATTTGCTTCAATACACAAGTTTGCAACCCTGTACTATTTTGAAAAAAACTACCTGGTGTTACGCCTCTGAACATCAGTTCAAACGGTTTTTATTTAATAATAAAAAATTGTTTTTTTACAAACTTACAATCCACGTATCTCGAAACGGCGTAATCGGAAATCATCAGAAAATGCAACATTATATGGAATTCCTAATAAAACAGGTCTTGATATTAACCTCTTTTTTTAAACAAATAATGCATATTAAAGTGTGTATTCATGCAGTTAAAACGTATTTACCTTTTCGAATTGGATCACCAAAATACTCTACATAATTTAAAATATGAGTTACTACTAAACCATTATCCGCCTATAAGAATCATTGGGCGATTTTCCATTTGTGATAAATTCAACATGCCTGCAAACGAAAACGAATTCCCTTTTTTCTTCTTGCAGGTCAACGGTATTACCTGCATGTCGCTTCTTTTTTTTCCTTACAGCCTGACTAATGAGAGCCAAGAGATCCTCTTCGGAGTGTTGTCCTCTTAAAGCATCTCTCAACGAAATCTCAGTATTTCCAAATAGACACACTTTTAAGTGGCCATCTGCTGTTAGTCTGAGTCGGTTGCATGACCCGCAAAAATGATCGCTCATTGAAGTAATAAATCCGATCTGACCTTTATAACCGGGAATTTTCCACGCCTAAGAAAAAATACCCTGATGGACTTGAGAACAACTTAATTCAAATCTCAAACCTTCGAAGTATCATTCGGTTCATTAATTAAGGAATGAAAATCCGGATGTACTGTTTTAATTATTTTAACCATTTCTTTATAGGATACCATTTGATTTTCATTCCATTTGTTTCCAGAGAAAGGCATATATTCGATAAACCGCACGTCAATGTTTTTATCTTTTGTTAGCTGAACAAAATCTAACAATTCGTCATCGTTTAGGCCTAAAATGTATGGAATTCGTAAACCCCAAACATGCAAATTTTAGAAATGCACCTTTCATAACAACACAATTGACTTTAACCGGATCATATCCAAGCTGTAGAGCTAAATCTATACCCATCATTGCTCGCTTCCACCCGTTTCTTCTTGTGATTTTTTCGTATTTTTCCGCACTTAGAGTATCTAAGCTAATATTTAAAATATCTAGTCCGGCCTTTTGTAGGGCAACTAGTTGCCTTGTTAGAGTCAGTCCATTAGTAGTCATTGCGACAATATCAAGACCCTCTATTCGTTTCAAACTTTCTACAAAAGTAAATAGCTAGAACGAAAGGCTTAAATGCTTCGCAGAATATTGTCTGAACTTACTAACAATGTCGATAATGTCTTTTCTAACCGTGGGTTCTCCACCGGTCAATCTCACTTTGTTAACACCTTGTTTCACAAAAATTTCTGTGATTTTTAATATTTCATCAGTGGTCAATAATTTCGATTTTTCACTCAGATTTACTCCTTCTTCCGGCATACAATATTGGCCTGTGTATAAATACATTAAAAAGAACAAATGACAAATTTTAGGTTCTTATTGTTCTTCCTGTGGGGTGCAATAAAATTACGGCCTGTACGAATGCAGTAACAACTGCGGCAATTAAGAATGTGTATTCAAACTGCGTTTCGCAATGTAAGATGCAGGTCAATTGAATGGACAGTCAGACATTGAATTGTCTTAAATCAATCGATGCATTGCATACGAGATGTTTTCAATATTTACAGTGCTGAAAATAGCCGATAAATTTTAATGTCTTCATTATTATTTTAAGGTTTATACTTATTTACATACATAATACTACTAATATAGTTAATAGTTATTTTATAATTTTATCAACTTCATTTCCGATAAAACATTTGACGGAACTCCAAATATTGTCAGTCGTACAAGAATTAGTTTCACTTTTAAATTCTCGTACCACTTTCTGATAATAAAATGATGTATCTGATATTTTGAAGAAATGTCTAATGTGTGGAACAAAATGACAGTATCATTACGGTGGTCTAATAATGTGCACATATTTTAAAATATCTCTTCAGACACGCACAAAAAAAAATTAAATGATTTGAGCGTATGTAGGCTTCCTTCGAATATTTCCAGCAGTAGTCGGATTTTTTTGCTTCAAAAAGATAATGTTTTTAAGCAACACAAAGTTGCATAATTTTGTGCTGATTTAACCGACTCTGTATCTCTTAAGATTTACGAGATCTCAATGCTAACACCTCGAATTTTTAACACTTTGTATACTATATAATAATCAGGGTAAACAGTTGAATATGATTTTAGAGAGTAGAGTTTCGTGGTTTTGCAGTTACTTTCAATATTATTATATTAATTTCCCGTTGATAGGCGATTGGGAGCTTCCACGGCCGTCCTTAGATAGTTTGGAATACGTTTACCACATTTTGCAGATGTTTCTGCTATTTATCTAGAAACACGCATTTACATGGAAAATCATCCGTGTGATTTGGCGCTTGAGTTGATCGGTTGAGAAACATAGCTTGTAAGTTTCTAATAAATCACATAAAAATTATTGATGCTGTAGAATTGGGAAACTTACATCTTAAGTTACACCTTTCCGTTACTGAGATCCTTAAGTAAGTATGGTGCCTTCCAAATGTGTCGGTTAGTGGACTATCAGAAATCTGAAGAAATAAAATAAATGTTAAATAATGTCAGTTTACAGAAACTAGTTTAGGATTAGTCACTATATTATTATTACTTATTATGATCAGCATTATTTTGAATGCATCGAGGGCAAAACTAAGATCAACATTATTTTTTAAGATTTTGTAATATTTTACTATATTTTTTTTCGAAATTATCAAAGGCGATATCGCGAATTTTCTCAAGGGCGCAAAACTTTCTTATATCATTATCAACAAGTCCATATGTGAGGAAACAGAAATAGAGCTAAAATGTCCAAATGTAATAAGCTGCAATGTCGGAAATTATTGGAAACAAAACTGGGAAAAGAATCAGAAGTACTTATCTATAAGACCTTTTAATGCTATTATAAAACTGTTGTTTTTGAAAGTAGAATACACTTCGTTATTACCTATATTGCGTCTCACCGCATACACAAAATAGATGTGATTCCATAGCATTAAATTAATTCACGAATTAAGACAATTATTTTCTTTTTGAGTGTGAGAGCTCCATAAATTAGATGAAAACCTACTTAATTTCGACCTATAAGTATGTGTATAGTAGATTTGTTTTACTGGAATACCCTGAAGATACTAATTTCAAATGATCTTGAAACCGATTTAACATGAAATTATAAAAATAATAATTTTTTTTGTGTATTTATTTACAAAAAAAATTGTTTTTCTTCTGATACCATTAATTTTTGGGAATGTCTAACACCATGGGAGAAATATTAGTATAGTCATAGATTATACAACTTTATAACACTATTATATATATTATATACAGAGTGATTCAAAATTGGCGTCATTCCTTTTAAGGGGTGATAGACGCTCCCTTGGGGAGTACGAGAAAAATATTGAAATTTTTTTTTTCGAAAATCTCTAGAAGATATTAACAGTTGAAAATTGAATTTTATCTTTGTTATTAAGCATTATTTTGAAATTGTTCCATATTTAATTGGTAGCATATATATTATTTTTAAACATCAATATTCGAGATTATGTGAACAGGTTGACATTTTGTCAACCAATCTTGTTGAATTTACCGTTTATCCTTGTCTATCTTATTGTCAGTCTTTATAATGCCATGGTTTCCGGAGTTTTAAATAATTACGGAGCAACAGGTATTTGCGCAATGTCAATTAGGCAGATTACCTTGAAAAACATTGCTGCCGTATTTCTGATATAGTTTTTCGCAAATTTCTCAGTTTGTAAAAGCAATTAATTTATTTTACTATTTTTTCTGTACTCCTATAATAGCGCCAGACAACACCTCCAGAGGAATGACGCCAATTTTGAATCACCCTGCATAGTGCAGTGATTCCGAAACCCTTTTAGCATTTTCATAGTAAAAACTTTCCCACGAACCCTGTGGAACTACATAAATGCATAATAAAAAAAATCTAAATTTAACTTTCATGTCTTGAATGTTAAATGCCTTGCCTGATTAAATTATTGTGATCAATAAATGATGATCAAACTTTGGCCTCGAGACTCTTCGAGATAGAAACAAAAATGATAAGAACCCATGCTTGGGAAATGACTCCTATTCCATACATACAGCGAGATTCAAAATTGGCGACATACTTTTTAAGAGATTACTGGGACGTACTGGAAGAATGCGGAGAAACGGTTTGTTCTTCGCAAATACAATTAATCTGAAACGGCCATGAGGAAATCTTACCTGTTTTTGAATAAATGCAGTTGACATCCACTTTGAAAAAATTCCATTGAATTGTTTCATCCAAACAGGCCTCACTAACGCATGCATTTTTAAACCAACGTCTTCCGTGTTTAGGTTCGTTAATAAAATTTACTGTTTAGCTGATTGAATCGCAATAAAGTACAAGTTTTATTATGTGCTCACGTTGTCGCGTCTTTATCTATGCAATGAATTAGTTGTAAAATGCAGCATGAATGCAAACATGCAAGTAGCTTTTAACATCCACAAATTTGAGGTTATGTACGTTGCACCCACAGACTTTGTACCTACAGATTATCAAACTATTTGTTGGTTGCACCACGCGGAACCAAAGAATAACTACGTTCCGTATACGATTCATATACGTAGATTTTCTTGACAGAAGAAGTATAGTAAAGTATGCGTTTTTAGTATAAAACGGAAATGTAGGATTAGTATCTACATATGTATATAAAAATATACTAGAAGAAAAAATAAGAAGCATCTACCAATGTTAACGAGGCAGATTATATTGAAAAACATTGTTGCCGGCGTTCTGATCTAGTTTTTTGCAAATATCTTAGTTTTTAATAACAATTAATTTTTCTACTATTTTTCATGTACCTCTAAAACACCCGCACGCAACATCCCCAAGGCACTACGCCAATTTTGAATCATCCTGTAGATTTTATATTATACTCTCCCGATTTTATATTGCGCTTAATGGCAACATTGGATTTTAGTGTGATTTACACAGAACACCTCTGTTTTAAGGTCAAATGTCAGTGTTAATTTTTTCAGGATTTAAAGGTTATATTGTTTGTTTTGCAATAGAAAATAGAAGTTCAGAAAGTGTTCTGCGGTGTTCTGCGGTGTTCTTTTTATTATTGGACTGTGCGTTTCAATTTCAAAGTGATTTGGAAAAAATGTCGCTATTTCCAGCTTATGCAGATCAGGCAAAGAATCTAGAAGAATCAGAAAGGCCCGTAACTAACGAAGAATGGCTTGAAAATTCTAGTTTTAAACCCCATCTCATTGTTAACCCTCCAAATGAAAATAGTATTTCAATTGAAAGCTCCGATGATGATATAGTGGAAGAAATATCAGTACCTAAGAAACGAAAAAAAGATAAGAAAAAGAAGCATCATAGAGCTAAAGACTCCAAAACAACTGAGCGTCAAGTACAGGAGCCCGAATTAAATCAGAACTTTTCTCTAGATCTAACTCAAACGAGAGAGCTTTTAACGGTGAATACTATTACTCGACCTGCTGTAGCCAAATATCGTGTTCAATATTATTTGTCAGAAAGAACAAGAAACAGAAAACATCGTTTTAAGAGGTGCGTTTTTCGTTTGATTTCTTCACCCTAACACTTCAAAAAACTAATTTTCACAATAAATCCGAATTCAAGAAGCAGTTGTAATAACAAACAAATATTGAAAGCTCAGTTGGAAATACGTTTATTTGAAACTACAGCCCCAGAAAGCTCATCGTTGCTAAAAGCAGGCTGAATCCTTATAGCTTTTACTTACAGCCGACTTAGAAAGTTGACTCCGCTATATGATATGATGACAAATTATACGTTTTTTATTAGCTGAAGCGTGTGTTTTTAATCTGAAGGTTTTTCAGGTACTTTACACAATCTAGAAATAAAAGTACGGAGAGTGATAAAGAAGAAAGCAAGGAGCAAACTTTGACCAAGCAAAATCTGGACAAAGTTGGATTTGCTAAGAAAGACGCCAATTTTACAGGATTTAGACAAGAGGAAGAATTGTCGAGAAGAACTGCACATTTCAATAGAAATTTAACCGACAATCCGACCGATGTGCAAATGTGGTTAAAATATGTTGAGTTTCAGGTAAACCAAAATTTTCAAATTGAAATATTAAATATCATGTTAACATATCACACTTTCTAGGATACAGTTTATCAATTTGAAAAGTCATACAGAAAAGGCAGCATAGCAAAAGCTCAAAGAGTATTAGCTGAAAGAAAAATATCAATTCTAGATAAAGCATTGACTAATAATCAAGGAAATGAGCAACTGTTAAGGGAAAGGCTTAGAGTCGCTGTAAGCGCTTTCCCAGCAGACGAACTCCAAACGCAACTCAAAACTGTAATTGAAAAAGAAAAAGGTAAAAAATTACATTATTTTTCTATATATCATGCATATCTTTTGTATTTTTAGACAACATAGTTCTTTGGCAAGGATACATTGAAGCAACACAATGTTCCATGGCTCATTGCAATTCTCCAGCCGTTCTTGCACTTTATATAGAATGTTTGTCAACCATGCATAAATTGCGAAGAACAACAGTGTCAGAAAAGTATATATTTGAGCAAGGAATTTTACGTACTCTTTTTCAATGTGGACTGTTTTTGAAACAAGCTGGTCTATTTGAACAGCTCTGGACGGTTTTAAAGATGTATCTGGAACTGAATTTGACCTCATCTAACAAAGCAATATTCAATGTTGAGCGATACTGCAATGAAAAGGAGCTTCTGGAACTTGAAGAAGTAGTTTTAAATTCGCAATTGCCCCACCACGAGTTGTGGTTAAGGGTAGAAAAGCTTAGAGAAGCGTGCCATTGGTTGCCTCGTATGGGTGAGTATATACTTAAGTATATGTATTCATGGGTAATATAGAAAAACCGTTGCTGTTTATTGCTACATCACTTAACTCTGCACACACTCTGTTTTAACTGAAAAGTTATTCAAATTCAGTTAATGGTTGACTAATTTGATGCAGCACTTTGGCTTGTGAAGCACTGATTACATATACATGAAAATGAGTAAATTGCCATCCTTAAAAATAAATATTCCTAAGCGTAATTAAAAATCATTCCTGCAATCATTAAAATAACTTCAATTTATTCAGATTTATTTTCTTGCCTGCGTGTACTTGTTATGGTATTCTTATCTTTCCTGGGTCTCAGTCAAAGTGTGAAGTAAAAATTTTGAAACATCGTTTATTTCATTACGTTTCGGCGAGACAACAGCGCTATCATCAGATTTAAAATTTACACAAACTACAAACACCAATTCACAATTAAAACATGTTGTATAAAAATTATAATTTACAAAGTATTAAAACATTCTTACTTCATCTTTAGTTCACTGTTTAGTAAAAAGATTCCATTTTCTACGTTTGTTATGATGTTATCAATTGAGATTTATTTAGGGAAAACTTTGGTACAAGCGATAAAATATACATTACCGGATTTGGTATGTTTATTGTTGTCAAATTCTTGATGCAACTCTCGTTTGCTACACATTTATCCAAGAAATAATACAAATAAAAAACATGCAAAAGCAGTAAATTTTAGATCAGATACCGACAACCTTAGCAACATTTACCAAACCCTAATAAAGCCATAAGTATGGAACACCCGGTACACTAGTGAAAAATTAAAACTATTTCTGCTGATCTCAATACATGCATACCACTCTCGCAAATGTAGAAAATAATTCAGACAAACTCAAGGTTTGCAAGAAGGCAAAGACCTAAAAGGACGTTCATTTTTACCAATCATAAGGTAAATTTTCCGGTGTTTTGCTCTCCCAAAAGGAAGAGTTTTTTCCCCTCAAAAACTGATGAATGGTTTAACACTTTGAAAATTATAATTTTTATACATGTTTTAATTGTGAATTGGTGTTTGTAGATTGTGTAACATTTAAATCTGATGATACCGCTGTTGTCTCGCCGAAACGTAATAAAATAAACAATGTTTCAAAATTTTTACTTCAGACTTTGACTGAGACTCGGGAAAGATAAGAATATCATAACTTCAATCTTCATTAAAGCTCGTGAGTTTTTCGGTCTTTTAGGCCGCGTCCGAAAAGAATTTCTTCCTCACGTTTCACTGGTCTTCACTTTTAAACTGGACTGATGCGCTTTCTCTCCTCAATAATATTCTATATTTCATTCATTCAAATATTCTATCCTCAATATCCATCGCATTCATTACCGTTTTATTTTCTTAATTTTGATTATTTACTAAAAACTTCTGAACTGTTATATTATTTCCCTTTAGGGCTTTTGAAGGATTATTGCCACGTTTCTACGTTCTATATTTTCGGCAACTTGTTCGATGTATTTCTGACTTATATTCGCGATTTCAATATTTTTTTCTTCTTCAATTTTCATTCCTTTCTTCTTCAAAATAGCTTTAATGGTTATATATATTCTGAACTATAAAATACTTAATAATAGATGAAACCGAAATATTTATAGTTTAAAAGCGAAAAGTAGTGAATGTTAATACCAAACAAAAATTGAATAATTCTATACAACAAAACTCCTTGTCTTTTTAAATAAAATTCTCAAATTGTGTGCTTTTTAAAATTAAATTATTTGGTCTCTACACGCATATCAATAAGTTCCATAACTGAATGAGCCGTGATTAATGGAAATATTTAGAAGCAGCACAGAAAAATGTAATGTTCTTCTTTAAGGTGATCAGGATTGCGAAGATCCGCAGAGAATAGTTTTCAATGAAGACGTGGTTGAACTGATCCATCCCATCACTTCTCCAGAAAATATATTCAAACTTGTTGCCACAATTCTAACGTTACTCAAGGTAAAAAAGTGGGCTGCAATTTTATTCGAGTTTCACTTTGATAATTGTTAGGTACCATTCCTGCCATGCAGACATTCCACGATGCAAGATTTAGGCTTGGATTATGTTCCGTGGTGTTTAGATTCTATAGAAACATTATTGCCAGTATTCTTGCCGATGTATTCCATTGACATTTCAAATAAAAACCTTTTGAGGGACACAAACAGGTAAAAAGCAAAGTGAGGATTTTAGTTTTAATATTTTTTATGGCTTTTGGTCTTCAGATTAGCCGTGGGGCCCCAATATATTAAAGCGCTGCCGGGGCAAGAAGAATATTTAAGCCTTATAATGGCTGTTATGGAAAGCTGCGCCGAGTGCCTGAAAAATCAGGATCAATTGGCTGTCAGGATATGGTGGTTCAAATTTCAAAGGCTGCTAATCATATTAGGTAAGTTAAGTTTACTATTTTTGTGCCAAATTCTGTTATGTACTTTTCGTTGTTTTAGATGTTCAAGGTATATTTAAGATACCCCCGAACTTCAAGAAAAAAATCAAAACCAATGTAAAAGACCTTTTAAAGCGAGAGGAATATAGGAATAACGAAATATTTTATGTGGAGTACGCTTTAATTGAAAAATTGTTTGGAAACAACGATCAATGCATGCGTATTTTAAAAACGGCCCTCAGTATGAACCAGAACACCAGTATACAACCGGAGAACTGGACGGAAACTCAAACTAACCAATGCTTCTTATACAGGATACTCGTAGAAGTCACAATAGAGTTAAAACAAGAAAATGTCAAAGATTCAGTTTTAGAGCTTCTAGTGAAGTTGGTACTGCAGAGACAGATCACAGGTGTTACTAACGGTTTAATTATGGAGGCGGAAACCAAATTTAACATAGTTACAACAGCATTGCTCGACATGGAATTGAATAATTTGAAAGCTGTTGAACATTTTTTGCCAGATTTTTTAACGGAATGGATCATTTGTAATGGGTGGTTTATATTTTGGTCTAAAGGTAAGATTCATACAAACTTGATCATCAATGATCAGTGCGTGATTGAAGACAAATGACTAAATATTTATAGAAAAGAACGAAAGAAAGGAATTATATAGCATTTGAGGAAATTGTCTGCAAAGCCTCAAGTATTTCAATAATCTATCGTTTGAATGTCTACTGATTTTTCGTGAGCACAGTACTTTCAAAACTAATCAAAACACCAAATAAAGCAGCATACTTTATTTCGCGCGAATCATAGTAATTGTGTTTGAGTTTTTCTTTTGTGCAATCTTAATAAATCAGTGACTCAGATTCTTAACTTTATTCAGGAGCTTGAATTTTCTAACTTTCTTGAAGCCGCGTACAAAAGATTCTGTTTTGTCTTTGATTTCCTCGTTCCATTTTTTATAAAACATATTTTTGCATCGGAGTTTGGCAAAATTATTCCATTATTGGGACTAGACTGAAATTTTCCACTTTTTACTCATATTTGATTAAAATTGTACGCAAACATCTAGTAACGTTTGAGATAACGGTAAAAAGTTATTGTGCGCTCTTTGTGTAGAAGTAAATATGATAATAAAAAACGATAAGTAATTGAAATAAGCAGGCTTAGCTAATTCTAATGATTATTATAGGACCATTGAAGGCTGGATCATTTCTGGAAAATGCCATATCCACACTTGAAGCCAAATCAGTTGGCCTATCTTTCCAAATAGAAGTGTTACACGAATTCTATTGCTCCATTTTGTTCAAATATTGCGTAGAAAATCCGGGAAGTGGAATATTTAAAATGTTGGATAAGGTCTTGTTTAAATCAATAGAAAAGTATCCAAACAACCTTTATCTTCTGGCTGTCTTAGCCAAGGAGCAAAGTTTGACGAAAAACATGGGCATATCGGCCTGGAAAGTGCAAGACTTACTTTTAAAGTCTGGAAGAGCCGTAGCTACAATTTTTACCTTGTTTCTAAGCGATTTAGTAAGATTGGAACATGAAAATGCTATCACAGATTCTATTACAGGTATGCCTGTTCAAAGTCTGTTTATGTCATTCTTGTTTATTATCTTTCTTTCGATTTTTAGGTACTAAATGCGATCTAATGGTATCTTTCAAGAACAAAACATTATCATTGTTCAAGAGAATTACCGGTGAGGGCATGTGTACCAGACGATGCGGTTTAGCGTGGAGGCTTTATTTACAATTCGTTCAGGCATATTTTGGTCAAGAGCTTTGCAGAAATGTTTACTACTGTGCAGTCGAGCAATGTCCGTGGTTAAAGGTAAGACTCAATTTAAATGAAATTAAGAAGGATTATAGAAATTAATTGTTACAGAGCTTGTACATGGACGCTGCTATTTACATTCCCGCAGAATTAGCACAAATCCAAGACCTAATTATAGAAAAGCAGCTTCGTCTTCATGTTACCCCCGAAGAACTTGATATTCTAAGAAACTGAGGGCTTATATTGTTTTATACGCATTTGTATGAAACATTTGATCTGCTGATGGGACTTTTGAACGTGATATCTCACATTAATTTACAATACTTTCGTTAGATGTATGGTTTAAGCTTACATACCCTTGTTAACTTTTGTAAGTATTAATTCAGTTAAGCCCCATATAGTAACTGTATACACCAGCAGTTTTTGAACTTACATATAATGAAATGGGCAACCTTTATGAAGTTATGGATTTTTAGAAACGCCAACGGTATTAAAAAGTGCCTGGTCTCATAATTATTATATTAGACTATAAGTTTTTTTAATCAGATGAGAAATAATATCTTGTTTTGGTGCAAAGAATATCGCAGTATCCTTTTGGTCATGTGCTTACGGGACACCTCGTATAAAGTAATTATTCTTTCCGTACTTAACGATATTTTATAAACAATATCCAAGGAAATTTCAAAAATCCTGTGACGAAAAACCTTCAATTGAATTCAATTGACAACAGTTCAATTTGTTTTGTCAGCGCTTCGTTAAAATCACGTTTTCCTAAATGTAATTACTCGCAAAATTGGGCAAACTAGCTGACTCAGCACGAGAGACCGTTAAAGCTGTTTAAATTTATTATGACAATTTTCTGATTATTTCTGGGTCCATATCCGGGTACAGGGTGTCCCGTAAGCCCATGATCAAAAGGATACTGCGATATTCTTTGGACCAAAAGAAGACGATCTGACCTAACTTTTATTAACAAAAAATGTCTGGCTCCTCTGCTATTGATGGTCCAAGTTTTTCGAAAAAAAATATATTTTTTTAAATATCGGGAGAATGGTACGATGTATTTTAGTAAAATTCGCTGTGAATTTGTTCTTATGTAAGACTCATATTTTGATGAAACAATCGAGTTCAGCCGTTTTGGATAAGTGGTGAATTCTTGAGTGTCGTGGTACAAAAACTACCAGAACTTTTTAGTTGGAGGATGACATCAACTCATTTTTTTTAGGTTGATGCACTAATCATTTATTCACAATTTTGTGCTCTTTGTAAAACCTTGTAGCCTTCATAGATATATATATATATTCATAGATACATATAAATTCGTTTTGAATGACCTTTTCTAATGAAGAAGTGACCGACATGGTCAAAGTATTAGGGTTTTGCGAAGACAATTTGCGTGAAACGCGGCGCATATTTGCAATAAATGACATTGCTAAGTGACTGGAAAACAGACATATTTTTTACGCAAAAACTATGAATTCTACAAGATCTTACAAAGAGCACAAAATTGTGAGCAAATGATTAGAGCATCAACCTAAAAAAAATGAGTTGATTTTATCCTCCAACTAAAAAGTTCTAGTAGTTTTTGTACCACGACACTCAAGAATTCACCACTTGTCCAAAACGGCTGAACTCGATTGTTTCATCAAAATATGAGTCTTACATAAGAACAAATTCACAGCGAGTTCAACTAAAATACATCGTACCATTCTCCCGATATTTCGAAAAAGAAAAATTTTTTGAAGAACTTTGACTATCAATAGCAGAGGAACCAGACATTTTTTGTTAATAAAAGTTAGGTCAGATCGTCTTCTTTTGGTCCAAAGAATATCTCAGTACCCTTTTGATCATGAGCTTATGAGACACCCTGTATATACAGATTAAACTAATTAATTAATTAGCTTGGTCGGTCCCAAGCTTTTTGGCAGTGACGCTATAATTGGCGTTCTTTTTCTATTACTTGTCCACCGAGCCAGACGGAAACTTCATGCTATTAACGTATACCTTTCCAGTTGTTACAACTTGTGGAAATGTATGGAAAAATATTTAAATTATCTATTTGATTTACAGGTGAATGTTGGCAGTTTCTTTAAATTTTTCCCAGTTTTTTGCAAAAAAATAGGGCAATGAAAGAGAAACGTATACAACATTAATTCCTCAGTATCATATTTTATTGGGCAATTTTTTAATATCGTTGAATGCATAAGTGGACAAGGGTGTGGTATTAATCCTCTTTAGTGATTTCACTTGGGGAATAATTAAACTTACAAAATGTAATAACTAAATGTTAATTAGAAGAAAATGTATTTTATTGTAGGACGTTTGTTTAAATTATTGATCGTAGCTAATCCTGAAACTGGTGCGGGTTTGGCCTAAATTTCTGAAGCAAAATAAAAACACTTATACTAATTTATTTATAATACAAATTAATTATATTTACAAATACCTACCCAATAGAAATTTCAATATATTTCTTTACATACGATTGTGGTAACGGAAGGTCGTGGGTCAGATCTAAATCAAATTAATATAGAATATCGGATTCGTTTTTATATATTTTTTGATAACTTCCTTCGGGGCCATTTTCAAGAGCTATTTAGGTTGCATTAACGATCCCTCTAAACAAACATAAGCGAAAATTAGAAATCGTAACGATTAAAAAGTCATTAAGCAAGCAATTATGATTACGTATTATACCAGGTGCTATTTTTTTTATCTTAATACACTTAAATATATCGAAAACAAGTATTCGAACAAAGAAATGTTAGGATCACTTGTTTTCGATATATTTAAGTGCTTCAACATAAAAAAGTAGCCGGTATATATGTATGTACGGTGGACGTACAATGTACGTAGCATATATATCACTGGATGTACGTATCATACTGTACGTACCATGTACGTACAGTATGTACCTAGCAGAGATGCGTTTTTCGTTCGACATTTTACGTACTATGTACGTAACTTGCCCCATTTGGTACGTGTACGTTACGTACATTTCGTACAAGATGTACGTACTTAAAATGTACTAAGTATGTATATGTGCTTTTTGGATAGGAATCGGAATCATACTTGTTATTTATATAAATTATCTTTTAATTACTGTTGACTGCTGTAAACAACTGTTGGACAATCTATGAAATAAATATATCCTTGTTTAAAAATTGTATTTGCCTTTATCTCATTTAATACCTATGCTGTATTTTAATCGTAAATCCAATTTTGCTTGACATATTTTTATTAAGACATGCGCAGAAGTGTAATTTTCAATGTTTTGTGTGAGTGTATGTCGGTGGTATGTCGTTTATAAACGTCATTTCACTGTTTGCTATTGTGATAATGACGTTCATATAACGTGACAAATTGGGTTATTTCGACGTACATATTCACGCTCTTTTCACGTGATTATCACGTTTTGTACCGGCTGCATTGATTTGAGCATTTAAAAAACGCGATTACAACTTTTCTCTTTTTATGTTGATTATGTGCGTACATCCTGCAATGTGAATGCATACAATTTCACACATTGCAACTTTGATTTAAAACTACTATAAATTTGCGTTATAAGTTATATAGTTTCTTTTTTTTTCTAGTCTTTATATGATAATTTTAAGTTCAAACTGAATTTTGGATGTTCGCTGCTGGTTTCCAAAAACCCAAATCACTCTCTATATATACTTCCAAATGCCTAGATGGGGATAATTTGTGACAACGCTGCTTTATATCACTTATTTCACAGATGTGTTTTGTTTAAGCGAGGTTAGGATTGATATTTATAAACTTCATCCAGAGACAAATATTATTGTCTGTGTTTAGAAAGCTAAAGTAAAATGCAAAAAGACAAGAAAGTTAAGTCAAAAACCAAGAAGGTGCTAGTAAAGAGTCAGAGACGAAAGATATGCGACGAAGTATTCAGTAGCTCGGAAAGCTTAAAAAGGATTTCTGATTGTGATCGCAAAAACAACACTAGTTCGGATGAAGCTTGCTGGAAAGCAAAAAAGTCGAAAAGATCCAAAGTGAAGAAGCGAGATTCGTCCACTTCTAGCTACAGTAGTTCTTCATCCAGTAGCGAGTCTAGCAGCAGCAGGTAATTTGAACTTCCTGCAATGATTTGCTCTACCTAAGTACTTGTACTGAACATTTTGATGTTTATACTGTTATACAGGGTCGTCTGTCATGCGCTGTTGTTGCTAAATTAGTCACATGGGTTAACAATAGCGTACCTATTAAGTATTATTGGCTATTTCTTTATTTTAAGGGCTGCAACTTCTTTACGGTAGTAAATTGGTACGGATGAATTACCTTGTACACATTTATACACTATTTTAATCCTTGTTGGTCCCAGCACTAATATCGCTTATTTTTATCTTCAATTATAATCATTAACATTCCAATATGGTTCTGGTCAAGTCTACTGTACTCCTAAGACGAAATTTTGTGCTACCTCAAAATTATTACAATCTTAGCACAAATATTTTGAAAATTCGGATACTGCTTCCAATGAAAACGGATTTACTTATTTAAAATCTCAATAATTTTAAGTTTAAAAGATATGAAAAATTTTACTACATATTTCTGAAAGAAACGTTATTTTGTATACGATATAGAATTTTAGCATGGTATTAAGTTTACTGATTGTTTTGATCAAGGCACCACTTTACAGTAAAACAGAAAAATCGATAATTTTCTATTCGAAGTGTTTCGCATCGCATCCTTATTTTAATTCAGAATTCTCCCTCGTTCATAAATCAGATTGTTTTCGTACGAAAAATTATGTGAATGCTCCTTTCCTTCTCTCTCCTCAATTGAGTCACAAGTCGCCAGTGAAATACAAAAATCGATTTTTTTCCGAACCGAAACTACTATACTTGTCTTAATCTTTTGCCGATTCGAATGAATACTTTTCGAAAAAAACCATCATCGTATGACAAAGTTAATTCAATTTCAATTGAATTCCAAACTTGACAAAAAATTATTGCTATTAATTCGATGCTTTTCACAATCAAATATTTCGAATAACTTAATGCGACTCTCCTCATCACTAAGATGTAATTTATTTGAAATTCTACTTACGTGCTTGATGGTACTTGCAGTTCTAGCAGCAGTAGCAGCAGTACCACTTCTTCATCAGATGATAATAGAAAGAGGAAAAAGAAAAACATTGCAATCCTGAAGCGAAAGTTAAAACAGAAAAAGGAAGAAAAGTTAAACAGCAGAAGAAGGCAGTCAGGCAAAAAGAAACGAAGCAAACTGGTAACCGACAAAGACCTGAATAAAGAAAAAGTATGCTGCTAACTGAACTGAATGTTTAGTCATTTTTGTTATTATATGTATTATTCTAGTCCGAAGAAAACGATATGAAAAGAAAAACTAAAGCAAAGAAAAATGAAAAGGAGGAGGCGGCAGAGGCTTCAAATGATATTCCCATAGAACTGATGGACAGGAGCAAAGCAATGGCTCCAATGAGAAAAGAAGAGTGGGAAAAAAAGCAAAATGTTGTAAAGAGAGTTTATGATGAAGAAACTAAGAGACACAGGTAAATCGATTGCAAACTTTCAACATTATTTTTGACTGTAATTATATTAAAAAACATTTCACCCATCGAACTAAATGTTTTATAGTTTCTTAAATACAGTCTCATTATTGCGGTTTAGGGGATCGTCTCTGTAGTCAATTGAAGCATCATGCCGACTGATAACTGGCTTGGCATTTTTCATCCTGTCTCAATTGAGTTTATATGGACTTAATGCGGTATTGACAGGTTTAACATTTGCTTCTTTAAATCGAATACAAATCGATAGGTTTTTCACTAAAATATACATTTTAGTACATAGAATTGTACAGAAAATTACCTCCAGTTTGTTTGTTTAAAACTAGGCGGTTTAGCAAGAAGTATTCCTTAAAATGCTCTTTAAAACTAGATAACAAAATTCGAATTAATGATTAACGAATAAGGAAAATATCGCATATAATAAAACGATGCGGTAGAATTCAGGCTCTCAATTGATATTTTTATTAACTTATATTTTGCTCAACTTGGCTTATAAAGAATTTTTGCCGAATTACTTGGTATACTAATGATATTATTGAAATATTTGTTATATTACTACATTATAAACGATGGCTCAAAATGTACAGACATTTCTCTGGAACTGTTGTTTGGGGGTACTTAGAGCTTTAAGAAAAAATAATAAATAATACTAGTTCTTCCTTAAAGCTACGATTAATTATTAATTTATTAATATTAAAATTAATTATTAATTTATTTCATTCCCCATATTTATTTGATGGATTTTTTTATCGCAGAACTGCTCATCCTCACGCACAAAATAACTTTTCATTGTTTACCAGAACGAATGTTTGAATCTGATGGCACAGTTTGATGTGAAAAGGCAAATTTGCCTGGCAAAAAGTTGGCAGAACGGTGCGATGTAGCTATTCCTGACAGGGCGTTTCTTCAAATGATCGATATCAAGGAAAATATGTGTGATCCTTTTTGTCTTTTGGCAATATCTTATAAAATATTTATTTTTGGTCGTGCAGTTTATGATGCTGAAAAAGCAGTCAATTTCAAAAACACACCACTACGAAAAGTTGTTTTAAAGGGATTTTCTACAATTGGCATATTATTGAAAATGGCGAGGACCTGACCGTCTAGAAATTTTCCGTTTCTTGACCTAGCAGTGGGTCAAAAAAACTTGACTTTCTTAGAAGAATGTTTGAATCAATTTGCATATAATCACAGCAAAAAAACAAGCACGCGTCTGTTGTGTCGAAGATTTGACCGGTCTATAGTCTTTCGACAATGTTATACCCTTTGAGTTTTGAAGAGCACAATTTAATAACTAACCACAAAGAAAGTGGATGTTGATAGACATCTTGAGATCTGATATATCTCAACACCTGCGAGCATAGTTGCCGTTGTGTCTTCAATGAAAGACCTTGAAAGAGTTTAGAAACGCATTGTTTCCAAACTGAAAATTTTCGAAAATTACGCAAGTTGCAATTGAATTTTCAAGAGCTAAAGTTTTTGAGAATAACTTAAATTAACAGAAAAATAAATGAGCACCTAAAAATAATATCGGCCATTTTGAATCACTCTGTATAGTTGAGTATTCGGTTATTTGAAGTCACAAACAATCGAACATACTTCGTTAGATTTATTCTGATTTTAAGGCACGATTTTATTTTACATATTAGTTACCTCCGGTCATTTTTAAATTTGTATGAGATAATATGTTTTGGTCTTAAACATCTCTAATGCTCTCGTATTTTACATGAGTAAAATATGTCCCAGTGACTACGAATGTATATACACAGGAAAAATTATGAATAAACATTGTGTAATAATCCAGAAAAATACAACTATTCTAGTCCATTTCCTAGTGAAAATCCTCAGTGAATAAAAGTAAAAATGAAAAGATCTATATTTCATATTTTCGCCTTATTAAAAAAATTGGTTAATTGCCGATTGGGTCTGGCCGATTCAAGATTGATTTTAATTCCAAATTGGAGTATTACTTACATACTCCAAATACATGCCAAGGCGTAAAGTAGCAACAACGCTACACATTAAAACTGATGATGGTGGAAAACACCGAAACGTTTTTTTAAATTGATAAATGAACAATAAATGACTGAAGAACCCAGGATTTGATTTTAATTTTGGAATTGAAACACAGTCAGGAAAGTACGTACAAATTGATTTTAATCAAATATCAATTTCATTCGTACTTGCTAATATTGCCCGTTTATCGTCGGCTTAAAGCTAAAAGTAAGCAAGTCCAAAATTGAAAAAAAAACTGGGTTTGGTTGGCCAAATAATTTTCAAAAATTATATATTTGTCTTCTATTGTATTTTAGACCTGGTCAGTTTTAGCTTTAAGCCCACGATATCATAAAAATATTCAATTTTTATTTCCGTTTCTTTAGTTTTCTCGCATCTTAGTTGTATTGTAGTTGTTGTTTAACCTACTAATGTTTAATTGGCTATTAACAATGCGTTTTAGACTTATTAAAGGCGATGGCGAAGTTATAGAGGAGATAGTGAGTAAGGAAAGACACAAGGATATCAACAAGCAAGCTACCAAGGGCGACGGAGAATATTTCTCTAGCAAATTAACCCAGAGTATAAAGTAGATGTTTAGTTTTAATAATATGAAGCTCTAATACTAAGTGGTTAAGTATAAGATACATATAATAAAATGCTTTGCTTTGATTTTCGTATGAAATCATCTGTTTGATTTTGAAATTGATTGAAATTGTTGTGATCAAAAGTTAGTTTTTAGTTTTCGATTAAATTTAGCCAACATAGTTTGCTTATTAGGTTAAGTATTGTATTGCGCATAATAATATTTCGAAGTTAGTTAAACATACTGGCCATAGCCGTTGATACTTGTTCAAGTTTGTTTTACGATAACAGCATGATCAGTTTGTGAGGCAGGTAGAAAAACATTTCTATGAGCATAGGCCCTATATAGATTAAATTAAATAGTTGTAATGCGATGTGTGTTTCTTTCCAACCTTAGAATAAGCTCAAAAAATATTATCGCAAAGAATTTCAATTTGGACATTATATCAAACTGAACTTTGTGCAAATATGTCTAGTTGCAGACGTAACAAACAACTTTTAAAATTTTTGAGTAAAATTGGTCCATTGGAGGAAGAGAGGTATTAATGTTATCTGCAATAACGCCGAACGTTGGACTTGCGAATATTTTCGTTTTGTTTTATTACCTTCGGATGCATACGCGGATATTATATACAATTCTTCGATTGCAATTGGAGTGCAATTTGATATCCAGTATTCTTGAGGACATGTATTGGAATTCTTTTGCGCAATCCTTGTATCTTTTATGTAGGTCTATTGCTACTGAGGAGTAGCACAGCTTTAACACTTAACATTGTTCAATAGTTACAGTTGTTGCATTATCATGATATAAACCTGCAAAAGTTACAATTGATTTATGAGAACTGTAATAGGATTAGAAATTGTGACTCGATTTTATATAAATACCGCTCATCAATCGGCGTATAATGACTAGTAGTAAACTGTTCTGGATTATTTATCATCTAATTGTAACTTTGATTCAGGATTATATTAAATTTTGCGTTCGATCAGAAGAAAAATCAATCGCGTGGCGAGTGGCGAAAGCAAAAGACCGCAGGGGAACGGCGAGATATAACGGCGCCGTAACGCATTCCAACCGATTCACACCGTGCCATAAGAAGTTATCATTCAAAGAATTTTAGAAATGCAATTTTATACGATTATAACATAACGAAAGTAGCATGTTTCTTCCAGGGCCCTGATGATGGCTTAGATATAGCCGAAACGTTGGTCCCAGAAAAATGTTTATCGAACGCAAAAGTTGTAGTTTCGTTTCAGATCCGTTTCATTCAACACGTCGATAGTTGGAATTGTATGTCCTGTTTTGTAAACATTATTATCCATCCTTGTTTGCCGCCGCATTGAACCGTGGCGGCGAAACTTGACATTCAAACTTGTGTTATTATTGTGCGCGTCCATGCGGTCATTTCGGTCCGTGTTCGCTGGACGGAACAACCATTTTATTCATGTGATAACAATTATTAGTGTATTCGTGCATTTTATTATTTTATTCCATTAAATTACTGTGTTCTGTTCTTTTGGAATCATCCCCTTCCTGGCTTCAACTAACGATTGCGCTAAAGTGTCGTTTTATTATTTGTTAACTTATCATCAGGCTTATTTTTACTGCAGGTAAGCGTTTGGGGCTTTTAAATAGTTTACTGCATTTTTGTGATTTTTTATTATTCATTTTTATATCTTGTATACTTCTAGTGAATTGTGCAGTGTAATTTATTAATATATTCGGGAAATTTATACGTAGAAAAAAATTATATAAATAATTTTTTTCTGTGAAAAAATATTTTTCTTTAATAAATTTGGAAACAATTTACGACCGTCATGGCAGTAGAACCTTGTTTCAAACTTTTGCTACTGCAGATTAATTTGAACCAACTGAATTACTGCCTTTGGATCAGATAGGTACGTAATTAAATTATAATACAAATGTAGGTACATGAAGAAAAATGGCATTTGAATACATTTTACATGGCATCTTCCATTTACGTAAATAAAATCAACAACTAATTACTTTTCTACAGTCTACAGTTTTCTAAACATCTTTATCATTAAGTATAGTAATTGCTGTTATGAGCGTGCCGCCAATTCATCAGATAAATTGTAAACCAATAAATCAAGCATATTTTTCGTCGTTTAAGCTGAACTAAGCAAAAAACCTAAAAGTTGGGATTGAAAATTTGCCAAATATTCCTAAAATGATAATGCTTATCGTAAAAAGGCATTGACATCGAAAAAGCGCGTTTTCATCAATTTATTGGTTTACAGTTCTTTTTTAAATATATGTATTCGACTGTGAATAAACGATCTGCAAATTTTATATCGTCTTTTTTTGACAATTTTGTACATTAAAAATCTCAGAAGCTTTCAGAAACTGCAGCTTCGACTGAATCAGATAATCTGAAAGTTGCGTAAATTGACGAAAAAAGTGCAATTCATAAATTAGATATCAAATGTAGCGTATCTTAGTGTAGCGTAATTGTATACTAAATAAAACTTTCAAATTCGTGCTTCGTGCACATAACTTCTGTGTCCGTATGTAAAAAGCTGAAGCTGGAGATTGATTGTCAGATTTCAATTTACTGCGTCATGTTGAAAATCGACTAAAAGTGCTTGTAGCAAGTGATGAAAGAGTTTTGCTTGCGTCTCTCAATTTTTCCCATAATTTAATCGATTTTTCAATTCTTATTATTTTTGATATTCAATTTTTATGATCAAAATGAAGCATGCTTCAATTACTTGCGTTACCTTGATGTATTTTTCAAATGTTTAATTTCTGAAAACTGTAATTGGTTAATTACGAATTAATAGAACCGCAAACCGCAAGAAAATGTAAAAAAATATGAAAGATTTGTAGAAAAGAAACTGCCGAAATGCTAATTGAATTCAGGGAAATTCAGGGAATAGATATTTTTATCATGAAACATTACAGTAAGATCAGTATCATAATATTTTCCAAGAAAAATTGATGCTGTAACTATTAGAGAAGAGCATGTAAAAAGAGTTGATCTTTTTTGAGAGATGTCAGATCTTAGATTGTCAATTTGAAAGCCAAAAAAGCCTAAAAGTCGAGACAACGCAGGCTGAACAATTTGTAGATAACATTTTAAAATTATCGCAATTTTATCCATTTGATTTGTAGATACGGTTTGCATAAAATGGTTATTTTGCATAAAAAATGCCAGTTTCAAGCACTGGCCGCGAAATTTTGCTTAAATTAAATATTTTACGTTTATACATTTAATTATTGTAGTCTAAGATATCTCTATCTAGATCACTTAGGTATAAGATTTTTCCGTAGTGAATTTAAAATGTAAATGATGATTTCGGTGTTTGGCACAGGGATGTTGTTTCTAGATTGGCTAGTGCCTATGATTTTTTTGATTATTATCAAAGATATTAGATATATAGATATATATTATATCAAAGATATATTATATTCAAAGATATTAACGTGAATAATCTAAAGCGATATTAGTAGTATTCCTAAGAGTATGTTTCGTTTCATTCGTCTTACTCTTCAATACATTATCCTTTTAAAAGGACGATTGACTAAAGATGTAAAAATAGAGTTCGTGTGATTTGCAGAAGACAAAATCAATAAACCTATAGTTCAAACAACACAGGGAAATCCAAAAATAGGATATGCAGGCAATTTGTTTCATTTGGCGGCGAAAAAATATACACTTTGTGCGGCTACTCCAATATTCCAACTTTACAGCAGCATTTGAAAAATTGGGTTTATTTTTTTGCGCAAGGAAAGTGTAGAATTAGATGTAAATTTTCGTTTGTAGATCATTATACCTAAATAGTAGGTGTTAAATATACAAATAAGTATAGGAAAAACCTGTTAAACATCAGAATTATACATATTTTTTTCACATGTTTTTTTTAAATAAAATAGGGCAATTAAATATGATTAGTTGTTTTGAAACCCGCCCGATCAGTTCCATTTTTTAAAAACGATATGTGACTACCAATATAATATAAAATTTACTTCTTTGTCTCCAAATCGTGGAAGTTCAACACTAATTTTCCTGAATCATTCATGGAAACTGATAGCTGGTGTCGACGTGTACCAAAAAAATAATCCCGCTACTCATTGAAAAAAATAATTTAATGTACGGGATCTAAAGAGCAGCCTTCAAATGAGATAGTTCCAGGCAATATTTATACACCTATGAAGAAATATTAAGAACAAAATTTACATTGCACATTGAAACTGAAGATAAATCGCACAACATAGGAAGCCAGTTTATTTCTTCATTTTCCCTGTAATTCAGAAATATACATTACCAATATCTACGTTTTTCACGCTTTGCTTTCACTACTCACTAGACGTGTTTTTGAATTTTTATGTTATGAAACGTCGTTTCAGGAATAATTCTTATATATTCCAACAAAAATATGCATCCCTAGATTTCATGGAGTTATCCCTTCATATCAAAACATTTATTAATGCAAAGCCATCGATCCAAAACGTCGGAAGAGGTTAATCCACATCCTATTTTTCCGTCGTAACTAAGTTTGACTGATTGCGTAATTATTCGAAGACTCAGTCTAATCTACATAAACTCAATAATTAAGTAATATAAAACGTTGCGGATATTTACGTTAGTGGATTTTGGAAAATTAATGCCCTGTTTTCCTCTTGGATGTGTTCAAGATTTGAATTCTCGCAAATCGCTCTATAAATCACTTAATGATATGACGCTTGATTACCCTGGTACTACAATTAACCAAAATGAGAAATTAATCGTAAAATAAAAAAAAGCATTGGCACTTCCTTACTTGATGTAAACATTCATGCCTTACGATCAATTAAGCCGAGGTCAAGGTAAGACCACAGTAAAGTAATAGTAAAGTCTCCTTAAATAGACTAGGTACCATCAATAATTTATTTTAATTATATTTGGAATTCACTCACATTCTATTTGGCCGTCAAACCGTCCACCTGCATGATAATTAAATCAGACCCCAAAGAATGCCTATTCCAACAGCCGGTGAATTGAACATACCTGTTCTAAACTGATGAAATCTAGCGTAAGGTTCCTAATATTTGATAATAATTGCTTTACATTACAGTGAACAATTCGTTAAATTTTAAGAAAAACAGAGAACATTTACTATACAAGGCGATTCAAAATTGGCACCATTCCTTTTAAGGGATTTTAGGGGCTCCCTTGGAGAGTACGCTCAAGGAGAGGCTCAAGTTGCATCGAACCAAAAATAGCCGGATCATTTCGCTTTTATCTACCTGCATAATTTCGGATTTGTTTAATACTAAAGACAAGAAACATTAAACAAGCCTAGAGAAATATCCAGTAAATCCTTAAAATTATTGGTTTCAGATCGCTCAACTGTAATAAATAGCTTTGATGTGGTAAATGCAAGCGTTTCAATTAGAAAAGTTTAGTCAAAATTATATTCGCCTGAAAACAACGTATAGTAATACGCAATTGATAAAATCATTTTTAAATTAGTATTTATCTATTGGCGCACCAAATAATTTTTGATTCTAGCAACTATTATACAAAAATAACAAAATAATTAAGTATTTATTATTAAAGATTAAATAATAAACAAATTTCCTACAAACAACGAAATTGTTGCAAATAAAGTTTTCGCATAATGTTTTTGTTACCTTAAAACTAATTAGGTACCACTGTTATTTTCGATATTTCTAATTGTAATATTGAAACATTTATGATTCAGAAAAGAAAATTGGTATTCCAAGTTCGAAAACAAATATGTGTTTTATTTTATCGGTAATCGAGAAATAATTATTAGTATAATACTACTGACCATCACGACCAAATGTACACATGTATTTTAGAAGCTGCTGAATATACAGTCTACTTGTAGAGCGAAGTATCAACATTTTTAATTTAACTGATTAGTAGCATGTTTACAACATTTCTAATCAGGTCCATTTTGAATGCTCTTTTCAAAGTGCCCCAGTACGGTTAGCTGAGAAATTGTTTTAGGAATACTTAATAACGATTTTACTTTTTATTCGTTTGGGTCTTTCAGTCAGTATTTATGTCTTACTGAGAATATTTTGTGTGTGTGATTTTTATTAGCAATATAAAAATTCACCGAAATATATAATTTTGAGGTGTTTGTGGTACATTTTAAGTTGATAGTGTTCTTTGCTTTCCAAAGTTTTATAAGAAATTGTTTTTTAAACGAAATTTGTCACCTATACAACATTTAAACCTAAAGTAATCCAGTTCTCTACCTATCCGAACTTTCTAAATTAAGCTTAAGAAAGCTACAAACAATTAATTTTCCATAATTCAATCACTCAGTATGTTTCAGAAAAAAACTGTGACTTTTTAAAGGTAGATTTATATGCTATGAAGTACATAAACTTAGAAATATGTCTGTCATTGCATTTAAATAATAGCGTAGGACGGGAAATGAAATGCGAAATCAAGGAAAATAAGTTTTAATTATTCCCTAAATGCTATCTTATGGATCTTCTCATAATATTTTTTCCTTCACTTAGAAAAAGATCTGATAACCTAAGTTATTGTACGCATAATTAAGTAAAATGGGTGGAAGTAGAAGGTGGAATTTCCACCAACTTATATATATTAATTCAAAAAACTATA